GGACTGCTTAACTGACTGAGCCACCCAGGTGCCCCTAAGTCCTCTGATATTTTAAGGCCACTACATATAATGTTTTCTAATGGAAGCTCCCTTTACTCAGCTCTTTACTAATTCCTGTTTGACAAGTCATTCAACAATGACTGAGTATGGTGCTGTTCATTTTTCATTTTTTTTTTTTTAAATGTTTTATTTATTTTTAGGAGAGAGAGAGACAGCATGAGCAGGGGAGGGTCAGAGAGAGAGGGAGTCACAGACTGAAACAGGCTCCAGGCTCTGAGCTGGCAGTCAGCACAGAGCCCGACGCGGGGCTCGAACCCACGAACCGCGAGATCATGACCTAAGCGAAAGTCGGACGCTTAACCAACTAAGCCACGCAGGCGCCCCAACTGTTCATTTTTCAATTATCAGTTAGGATGTTCTTTTTTCGGGGTGCCTGGGTGGCTCAGTCAGTTAAGCAGTTAGGTTAGTGTCCTAACCTAACCTCAGTCAGGTTAAGTGTCCTGACTTCCACTCAGGTCATGATCTCATGGTTCATGGCTTCGAGTCCCGCTTCAGGCTCTGTGTTGACAGCCCAGAGCCTGGAGCCTGCTTTGGGTTCTGTGTCCCTCTCTCTCTCTGCCCCTCCCCTACTCATACTGTCTCTCTCTCTTATAAATAATAAACTTAAAAAGAAAAAAAAAAAAAAGTTCTTTCTTCATAGGAGTGACTCTTCTCCAGGTGTAAATCAGGCCTTCCTGTTAATAATCCTTTAGTGAACCATTTACTCTTTTATAATGTTTATCACAATTTGGCTGTGGTTTCATGTGGTGGTTTAATATTTGTCTCTTCCACTAGAAGGCTTCCTTGAGGGCTGGGAATAAGGTTCTAAAAATTTCTTTTATCTCCAATACCTGTTACAGAAAACGAATACACATAGTACTCATTCTCTGATTATTCTAGTTAGTTGTTTTCAAGCTTATTAACCACAACCCACAATTAAAAAAATCACGTTGTGAGCTGGTACACACATGCAACTATCCGATACCAAAGGTTTCATAAACCACTACCTACCATTACCACATGTAAAGTACTGTCTCCTATTTCATTAAAAGAACAGAACTCCTGGCTATAACTTAATGGGTAGAAACTGGATTGTTCTATTCAAGAGGTTTTCTTTTTTCAATAACTAAGAGCGTCCCACAGAGGTGGTCCTTTTCCTATGCTTACTCTCTGACATTCTTGTTGTTTCAGTTAATCAGTTTCAAAATTTACATGTCTCTTCCTCCAAATTTTGTGGAGTTATGCATCTTTTTTGTTTTGTTTTAAAATTTTTTAGTGTTTATTCCTGACAGAGGGAGACAGAGTGTGAACAGGGGAGGGGCAGAGAGAGAGGGAGACATAGTCTGAAGTAGGCTCCAGGCTCATGGCCTACCAGCCATGGTTTCTAAAATTAAGTCCAATTTGTTCTATTTAAGAGTCTATTTTTATTTGGTTTTCTGGATTCCACACGTAGGTGAAATCATATGGTTATTGTCATTGTCTTATTTGTATTTGGTATTTGTATTTGGTATTTGTATTTGGGATTATTTCACTTAGCATAATCCCTTCTAGGTCCATCCATTCACAAATGGGAAGATTTCATTTTTTTTTGTTATGGCTGAGTAATAATCCATTGTGCTATGTGTGTATATACGTATATATACACAGGTATACTGCACACTTTCTTTGTCCATTCATCTATCAAGGGACAGTTGGGTTGCTTCCAGATCTTGGCTATTGTTAATAACGCTACAATAAACATACAGGGGTGCATAGGTCTTTTCAAATTAGTATTTTTGTTTTCTTTGCGTCTATGCTGGTAGTGTAACTACTGGATTTGTATGGTATTTCTGTTTCTGATTTTTTGAGGAATCTCCATACTGTTTTCCACACACAGTGCTTGTACCCATTTACATTCCCACCAAGAGTGCACAAAGGTTCGCTTTTCTCTACATCCTCACCAACACTTATTTCTTGTCTTTTTTTTTATACTAGCCACTCTGGCTGGTGAGATGATCTCTCATTGTGCTTTTGATTTGCATTTCCCTGAGGGGTGAGGTTGAGCATCTTTTCATGTTTTGGCTGTCTGGATGTCTTCTTTTTTTTTTTTTTTTTTTTTTAACGTTTATTTCTGAGAGAGATAGACAGCGTGAGCAGGGGAGAGTCAGAGAGAGAGACAGACACAGAATCTGAAGCAGGCTCCAGGCTCTGAGCTAGCTGTTAGCACAGAGCCCGACGCGGGGCTCGAACCCACAAACCTTGAGATCATGACCTGAGTTGAAGTCGACACTCAACCGACTGAGCCACCCAGGCGGCCCCTGGACGTCTTCTTTAGAACAATGTCTGTTCAGGTCCTCTGCCCATTTTTTAATCAGATTGTGTTTTTTGGTGTTGAATTGCCTAAGTTCTTTGTATTTGGTTAGTTTGGATATTAACCCTTATCAGATATATCATTTGCAAATTCACTAGGTTCTTCTCTCATTCACTAGGTTGCCTTTTTGTTTTGTTGATGGGTTTCCTTTGCTGTGCAGAGGTTGAAGTCAATGAAATCACAGGCTGTGTCCTATTCTTTTCCCTCTAAGATCACTTATGGGGGTGGGGAGGAAGGGTCAGTGGCCACAAGGTAAACCCCTGAAGGGCTTGCTGGGTCCCACCCCCCATTCCTGATTCAGAAGATCTGGAGTAGACCTGAGAATTTGACTAACAAGTTTCTAGATGATGATTATGCTGCTACTGCTGGTTTGGGGACCGCACTGAGAACCCCTAGTCTGGGTAAAGGAAGCTTATGTTCTTGTCATGTTCCCTGTTCTTTAGGTAGGGAAGACGTATGAGCTACTAAACTGTGACAAGCACAAGTCCGTGCTGTTGAAGAATGGACGGGACCCTGGGGAAGTGAGACCAGACATAACTCATCAGGTAACTTCGGGGACAGAGCTGATGACCCCACGCCTTCATATCTGTTGGCAGCCGTGTGCTGCTTCTCTTCAGTCGAACCTGTGCCTTGGTTTCTGCCTCCCCTAGAGTTTACTGATGCTGATGGACAGTCCCCTGAACCGAGCTGGCTTGCTGCAGGTTTATATCCACACACAGAAGAATGTGCTGATTGAAGTGAACCCCCAGACTCGAATTCCCAGAACCTTTGACCGCTTTTGTGGCCTCATGGGTGAGACCTTTAGGACTAAAGTTCAGAATGAACCTGGCAGTAGTGAAGAAGGAAGAGGAAGGGGATAAATGAAATGTGAGCTTTTTGAACCGGGGGAGCGGGGTGCATGTTTGATACCAGAACAAGGACCTTTCCTCTTCCCAGGGACTTGGGGAGAACCTGCATGGGCTCCTGGCCCAGTAAACTCATTGCTGTCCAGCTGGTTGTATGCTTGGCAGCTGCTTGTTCATAGCATGTTAGGACCATAGTGTGGATGTAAAGGACACACAGAGCCCACTCTACCTGTGGGTTTTTCTGGTTAGATTTCTGGGCAGAAGAAATGGGGTCACCACCTAGCTCTGAACTCTTTTCTCCCCACCCGCAGTTCAGCTTTTACACAAACTCAGTGTTCGAGCGGCTGATGGGCCCCAGAAACTCTTGAAGGTGAGGTACTGGCACCTACTGGTTGGGGGCAGGGTTCTGAGATTGTTTCTGGAGCTGATTCCCCCCCCCCCCCGCCCTTTCTTTAGGTAATTAAGAATCCGGTGTCAGATCATTTCCCAGTTGGATGTATGAAGATTGGCACATCTTTTTCCACTCCGGCTGTCAGTGATGTACGAGACTTGGTGCCTAGCAGTGACCCCATTGTATTTGTGGTGGGGGCCTTTGCCCACGGCCAGGTGAGGTCTGGGCTCAACTCGTGGATTCTTCATAGAGCCGAGGCTTAGTATAGACTTCTGGGGGCCATTGGCACTTTGATGGCCCTGGAAGATAGAGGGTGAGAACGAAGCTGGAAGACAGACGGGGCCTCCACGACCTGCCCCAGGCAGTAGCTTTTGAGGACTGCTGGCGTATTTGTGATGGTGAAATTCAGGGCCCTCCTCCTGTGTGCAGATTCAGTATTGGACAGCACTGTGGGGGCGCGGGTGGCTCGGTCAGCTAAGGGTCCCACTTCAGCTCAGTCCATGATCTCACGGTTCATGGGTTCAAGCCCTGCATCAGGCTCTGCACTATCAGTAAAGAGCCTGCTTGGAATTCTCTCCCTGCCCCCTTGCATTATCGCTCCCTCCCTCTCTCTCAAAAATAAATAAATCTTTAAAAATCTTTTAAAAATAGCACTATAAAGATTGGCTGGCTCAGTCGGTGGAGCATGTCGCTCAATCTCAGGGTTGTGAGTTTGAGCCCCATGTTGGGTGTAGATTACTTAAAAAATAAAATCTTAAAAAAAAAAAAAAAAAAAAGCCACACTGTGAAATACTAGCCCTGTTTTTCCTGCCCCCAAGAAGACGTGAACCTGTTACAGAGTGACAGACGGTTTCTCTCTTCAGGTCAATGTGGAGTATACGGAGAAGATGGTATCTATCAGCAACTACCCGCTTTCTGCAGCCCTCACCTGTGCAAAACTCACCACGGCCTTTGAGGAAGTGTGGGGGGTCAACTGACACTAGCACCTCGTTCTGAAACGGACTGGTAGATCCCTCGACCCTGCTTTCAGCCCGCTGCTCGGAGAGCACCTTCCCGCACCGGGACTGTGGGGGTTTGGGGGAGCCGAGGCTGTACGTTTGCTGTTTGTTGTACTATAAATACTGTTTTTGCAACCCCGGTAGCGCTTTGGGGATTCCTAAAATTGCGGTATCTTAATGGTGTAAAAACTCCTCATGGCTGTTCTCCCCAGACTGCAGGGACGATGTGGTCACAGGGTTCTGCAGTTTTGGTTCCAGGCCTTGCTGGTGGGCCTCAACTCCAGCCTTTGGGGTGGTAACGGAGGGAGCCCCGCTTCACTTTGGTGTTTGGCAGGCGCGGAGAGCAGTCTGTAAGGAGGCAGCCAGGAATGCTAGCAGTGAAAAACCGAACAAAGAGAAGTGTTTTTATCTGGTACAGTTCCAAGGTAGAAAAAGTGGAGCAGGTGGGGCCTTGTACCCCACCCCGCCCCCCCATGGGGGGGGTGGTGGTAGCGGCACATATACAATCATAGTAAATTGGCAGAAGAGAAACACAACAGATTCCTGGCTAGAGGGGGAGAGATAAGGCAACGTGCATGGGGGAGCCCAGAGGGGAGACACGGGCCCTCTACTCCTCCCACGAGAGTTTCCCCTTTGGCCCCGGATGAAGACTTGGCTGGCGGCGGCGGCACCGCTGGGAGTGCCGCGTCCTCCCCTCCCTGGCTTCCACGTTCTCTGTGCTCTGAGGCGGAGGATTGCTGTGGAAAGGAGACAGGTCACCTCTGCACCAGCCCGGCTCTAGGCCACCTGTGGGAGGAGGAGAGATCCGATTGACAGGCCGTCTGGACCGCGGCCCTTGCAGCTTCCTGGGGGCCCAGGTTCGAGTGGTCACTGCCCCAAACTGTTGTTCTCTAGACGCCAGGCTACCTTCAGTCACTCCAGTACCGTCTCCCTGCCCCCCACCCCCGATCTCTTGCTCCTCTCCATTACCCGGAGGTTCAGCTTAGCTGCAGGGATGGTCACTCACCAGGGAAGCAGATTACTTCACTTTCTTTAACTTCTCTTTCCTTGGCACCATTACTTTGTGAACATAAGGCAATATGAAGAGTAGGCTCAAGAAGAAGATGTGGCCAAGAAAATAGATGGATTTATACACCTGTGGGGAGATAACCGGCCACTGAGAAAGAAAGAGACCGAGCCAGGACTGTCCCCAGTGCCCGCAGTGTCCGCGATCCCCGCCCCCTCCCCCCCCACCCCAGCCGCTTACCTTGAACCACTTGTCCCACGTGAAGAGGCAGAAGGCAGTCATGGAGTAGCCCATGAAGAGCCAGTGGATGGTCTGCTGCACCAGGTAGTAGAAGGGTTGGAGGACAGTGATGGAAGCCAGGGTGCTCAGGGCTGGGCTCTCCTGAATGAGCCTGGCAACCTGGGGAGCGAGGGCAGCGGTCGGCGGTGTCCTGGCCCTCGCCGTATCCCCCTCTTGCCCACCGTCCCGCGGGCCCACCTTTCTTTCCACGATAACAATGAGGAATTCCATCTGGAAGCAGACCAGGTACCCTGAGTGCAGGCCGTGCCAGAGGGCCAAGAACAGCAACGAGAGTCCCTGGGATAGTTCTTTGTTTCCGAGGAACTTGAGGCGTTTGAAGACGTAACTAGAGAAAAGGGTGGGTGGGGATGAGCCTCAGAGCATCTGCGCCACCCCCATCTTGCCCCACGGCTACGGGTGCCCTGGGGGTGTGCCACGCGGGTGGCCTCTGCTCCAGGCGGTCGGGGCCAGGGAGGCAGCGCCATCTGACTAGCCTTAGGAATGGAAGGCAGCAGAGTGGACGGCTCGGTTCAGAGACAGAAGAAAGACGTCAGGCCTAGCTGGGTGAGCTCGGGCGAGCCACCTCATACGAGACGATCGAGTGTCTGCTCAGCACCCGGTGCCTAAGCTGCGGCGGTGAGCAGTGCAGACCGGTTCTCTTGTGCATTGGTGGGGACAGGTCAACAAAGACGTTTGTAAACGGCAACGGGGACCATGATACTAGGGGCGGAACCGGGATTACAATTCCGTCTTGCTTGTGCCTTGCGGGTGTGACAGAAGTGGTTTATTGAGGGGTGGGGCTGGGAGTCGGGACGGAAGTAAGTAGGTGTGGGTGGGCGCGAGAATGACGAGGTTCTACCCAAAGTGGGAAAAGATGGGTGGCGCATCCATGCCCTCAAATCTGGGAAAGCACTGGAAGAAGCTGGGGAGTCCGGAGCCCCCATCCAGCAGCTTACCGGGCCACCCAGGCATTGGTGTTGATGTTGAAAGAGGCGATGGTGCCGGTGAACCGGGGGGTTGTTTCGAAGAGCCACACCTTCATGTTGGCACAGGCGTCCCACTTGGGCTTTCCGTGTTCATCAAAGCCATCGAAGCCCAGCCCCGTCAGGATGCACACTCCTTCCTGGGAGGTGGGGTTGGGCGCCTCCTTAGCCTTCCTGCTCCCCTCCTCCCCACCACGTCCACGGCTTCTTGGACTATGACCCCGTTTCATCTTTCCTACTTACTGTGACCAGCCAACAGGTGACGTACTTGTACAGCACGAACTTGCCCCAGAGCAGCATGTACATGCAGCGGAACCAGAAATCGTGGTTCTTGAGGAATGAACACACAGGCATTAGGGCTACTCCCCAGGCAAGGCGAATTGCCCTTCACGTTCTTCCCTTCCAAACTCGTGGCTGACTACTTCGCGTCCACCTGACGGTCTGCTTAGTTGCCCTTCTAGAAGGCTACGAGGACTACGCAGGGAGCCCAGTGAACATCCATTCACCTTCTTCCCTGAAGACTCCCAGAAACAGCATTGTCCCTAAGCTTATCTAAAGCACTGAGCACTCGGGATACAGAGCGCTGAGGGACTTTATATCCACGGTCAATGTTAGTTTAAGGAGACAAACCTACCCAGAGTGCGTAGGGAACTGCTGCAAGCCTTTCAGCGGGGCGGGAGCAAAGCCAGCACTTCCCCCTCCCTTGGGTTTTGAATTCCCTAGAAGCCCCCAATCTATCAAGAGAAGAAAACAGGCTGGAGAGGACCAAAGCTGTTCTGCTCCAAGGAGTCACTCGGCTGTAATAAGTGGGGCTACGAGCTGCTCCCGAGGGGGTAAGGGTGCCGACAGTGCACCTGGCACAGCCCCGTGCCCGCGAAGGTCGTTCAGTGCTGGCTGATGGACATGTCGCGGCCCGGCTGGCATTGACACCAACTCTCACAGATCTAGGGCAAAACCAACATGCGTTTGTAGATGGCGTTACCCGCCTCTCAGCTAGCTACAGGGATCCTTGCCTGTCCATGTCTACCTCTGGCACAGTCACACTGCCGCTCCGCAAGCGAGCACTCACTTCGTAGTCTTCAGTGAGCAGATAGTCTTCTGTGATGTGCGGGCTGAGCAGAGTGTAGCCCACCAGGTAGACGAGGCCCAGACTCAGGCGCTCGAGAGCAGGTATGGTGCTGGAAAGGAACAAGCAAGGTCACGACGGGCGGGGGCTTAGTTCCTTCACCCTCCGACCTTAAGTTACAGAGAGAGGGCTTGCCGGGCGTGGCTCTCCGTCCAAAGCCTTTATTCGCTCTCAGGGCAACACAGCTCTCTGTGGTTGGCTTTGGGCGATGCTGAACGCAAGGCCCTTTGAGTCACAGGGACGGGCAGGGTGAGCAGGGCAGCAGTGTGGACGAGTCTGTGGTGCTTCCCCTCAGGGGTCCTACGCATCTCACCGCCTCACCAACTGCCTCCGTCCACACTGGGACTGAGAAGCCAGTGCGGGGTCCAGGAGGATGACCCGTTCTCAGTCTGCTCCTTCCTCCCCGGGTTGAATCGATGTCCAAACACAGGCTGGACACGTTCTCAGGCAAAGAATTTTTCTGGTAACTTTTCCATTTTCTACTGTGATATATATACATATATATACACATGGCACATTTTTATGTATCTAACAATCTTTTTTTTTTTTTTTTTTCTTAACTGAGAAAATGGGTTTTAAAGGCAGGGGCATGACTGTTCAGGCAAAGTCCTGTGGCGCATAGGTGAGTTTTTATGTTTGTACTACAGGGTGGAAATGGCTGGCTGGAAGTAGCCTACGCTGAAACGGGCCCACCACCCGCATGGAGCAGGTAGGGATGGCCCGTTACGATAGTCCAGGGCCCGTGCGGCACAGGCCTGTGAGCCGGGGCCAGGCTGGCCTGCAGGAAGTCACTTAGACGTGGCTTTGTACTGGGTGAGATCACCTACACGGAGGTCTTGACCAAGAGGGGCAATTACCTGTTTGGTATCTTCCCTGGTATGTCAGTCAGCTGTCCCTGCACCAGCTTCATGTAGTGGTTCATTGAGAACTGGGGCCCTACCAAGAAGGCCCCATAGAAGTAGGAGAAACCAGCAACTTCCAGCAGGGAAGGGACACCCCGTATGGCATATTTCTGTTGCTCAGAGGACAAGGAATTCTATGCCGAGAAGAGAATGAATGGTTCAGGATAGCCTCGAATCTCCCCCCAAGAGCCAGTCTGCGTGTTCCCCACCCTTGGACCCCACTGATCTGGGGTTCTTCAGATAGCCGTCTCTTCGAGGGCATGATAAGGAGAAAAGTAGTCGCCTCACGTGGAAAGGAGCATGTGCAGGGGGTAACTTAGCAACAAGTGGCTGCTGCTTTTCCAAACGCCACGCTGGCACTGATCTCTGGACTTTGTGTGAGAGCTGGATCCGCGCAAATTAGATTTGCTGATCCGTGCTCACTGCTATCTGAAACAGAACTCACACAGGCTGGAGAGGAGGGAGAGGCTCTGCCCCTGGCACCTGGGTCCAGTCTTTTGATAATAACAGCTTTGCGCCTTCCCTCTGGCTCAATTCCTTAACCTCTCTGCGGAGGAATGGGTTCTTACCTGATCCTTCCCTCCGTCAAAGTAGTCAACAGCCAGACCTGAGCAGAGAGAGAAGGTGTGAGTAGAAAAGGGGAGAGGACACCGAGGAGGTGGCCTGTGACCAAGTGTAGCCAGGGGCTGACTGGGGAGCACAAAGTAAGTCAGAAGGGGAGGAGCCTAGGTGTGAAACGGGAAGGCAGTGAGCCAGCACTCACCAATCAGCTTCAAGGTCAGGACACAATGTGGCATTGTCCACTTGATATCGTAGTTGCCAGTGGCTGTGTAATAATATCCTGCAAGAAGGTAGGCCTACGGAGGGGGAAGAATTTATTCCTTCACCCGCGAGGATTTCTTCATTTTCTCCCTGCTCTAAAATCCACTGTATTCTTTCATTTTTCCATTCTCCTTAGAGGCTTTTTTTTTTAAGTTTGATCTTGTAAATTAAAAAAAGAAAAGTTTATTCATTTTTGAGAGAGAGAGAGAGAGAGAACATGAGTGAGGGAGGGGCAGAGAGAGGTGGCGGGGGGAGGGACACAGAGGATCCGAATCAGGCTGTGCTGATGGCAGACGACCCGATGTGGGGCTCAAACTCACGAACCATGAGATCATGACCTCAGCTGAAGTCGGATGCTTAAGTGACTAAGCCACCCAGGCGCCCTAAAGACTTTAAGTTCCTAAACATGGAAGAAACTGAACCGGTAGAGAGGAAGGGACTTGCTCAAGGTTTCTCAGCAGAATGAAGGCTAAACCGAGAATTTGGAGCTTAGAGTCCGTAGCTCATTCTAAGCTGATTTTCTGCCTTGCCTTTAAGCGACATGCCTCCTGGACAGCTTGCTGGGCTAACCCTGGTCCAGATCAAAGGATATGAATGCCACAGTCCTGGGCAAAGGCTTAGCTGGCAGGTAAAACATCGTCACTGCAACCTGCAGATAAGCCACCTGGCGCCTGTAAGGAGTGACCTACCTGAAGTCACGCTGCCGAGTGATGTCGGGAGAAAGGACTAGAAATTGGATCTCCTAGTTCACTTTTTCTGTGCCATGGCCCCCGACCTCCCCTTCCCCCTGAACTGCTGCTGGCTGTTGATCTGAGCTGCCAAGGGAGAGGCGTTTACCATCTGGAAGCAAAATGTAGTGAGGACGGCAGTGATGGTGCGGCCCATCAGTCGAAGGATGAGGAACTGGAGCACAATACATAGCAGGGAGTGGTAGAGCTGAGCTCCTGGAGGCGGAGAGGAGAGCAAACTTTAGCCTGTGGTTGTTTTTTTGCCTTTTGTTTTTTTGCATTCCCACCTGTGCTGAGACTTCTAAATACAACGAGAGTATTTAAAGAAAAAAACTTTGGTATTAGGATTTTTTCTTTTCTTTTCTTTT